GTTCTCATCACCTGATTTTTCTTTAGAAAAACATGAATGGTATATGGTATACTTTGTTAATACTGTTTTAATACTGTATAAACGCTTTTATAAATCTAGTCCAATAATTAATTGAGTGTTGGAGATAAACTTTCTAAGTTCATTGGACCCATTGTAAGGCATATAAAATACTATTGGATGGTTACGTAGAAACCGATGTTTGTTAATAAAAATTTTATATAATAAACTTACACAGCATTCAGATACATCACATCGATATATAAATAACATTTAAAAATGAACCTACATCTATTTGTCACCCCAAGTACTAAACGTAGTGCAGCGCCCAAAAGATTTTGTATCATATGTCAAAATTTCTCTTCGCATTTTGTGCGAAAATATTTCGATATTCATACTGGTAATTACGCCATTGTTGCATTGTATAAGAATTCAAACTTTACTACAAAATCAGTTTAGAATCCGCTAATTTAATGCTAGTATAGAGCATTACATATTTTACATATGCACATTGTGCACGGATACACAGAGTATGTGATACAAAAATAAATCGACCTTCATTCCTTTTATTTACAGCATTTATTAGTTTTTTTTTGACTACGTATATAATGATACGTAGTACGTATCGGTATATACTTTTTAATTAATATATAATAATAATATACATTAATATAGAGTTAATAGCATTAGGTATTTAGTTTTTTTTGAAATTCTAAATATTTTTTTGAGTCGAAAACTATATGTACAAAGAATAATTATAGTGTTATTTTCTCTCAAAGTAAAATGTCCAAATTTTAAATGCTATAACAATCGATGTAATAAGTGCAGAAAGAGTGATGGGGGTTTTTTTTTTTTAATTTGTTAATTAAACGTATGGTATAAGATTTCGATGATACGATAAATAACCCTTTAAATAAGATAAATATTTAAATAGAAAATCAGGGATTCGTATCAAGCTGTATCAACTTCCCTTCTATATCCGTGGTCGATAATCGAGGCAAGCTGTAAAACAATAAATAAATAAATAAATAAATATAAATATATATATACATATATAGATTTGCAGTTACTAAATTTAAAACTTTAAACATGAACTAACCTTTAGCATCTCTTTATCCATAGCATTAGAATTATACTGTCTAAATCCTTTTCGCTTTGCTAAATTTTCTTCCCATATTCTCTCATTATCCTGTCGTTGTTTTGCAGTATCTCCACCCAACCCAAACACTTGAATTTCCAAAACTTCAAACTGTATATCAAAATAAGTTCTTGTTGCTGATAACTTGTATGAATGATGGGATCCCTTGAGTGAATCACTTCTATAAGTGCCATTTTGTAACGTATTATCAAGCTGTAATATAAACGAACCAGAGTGCTTATTATCCAATCGGGAGGTTTTACGAACGGTGTCTGTACCACCAAAACCTATACCCGATGAAGTATTATAATACACATAATTGGAATTATGATTTGTGGCAGGGAATGATTCGTAAGTGGGAAAGATTTCAAATAATAAACATTCTTCAGTACCAAATGGTTTAGAAGAATTCCAAGATTCTGAAATATAAGCACCCAATAATATTGTATCATTTTCATCATTATTGCCAATACTATCGTCAGATATTACAATAGCATGAATTAACATAAGGGTAGGCCCATGATATTTAAATACATTTGTTGAAAAACTGCTCATACTGAAACCATGTTTAGTGCTAGTATATAATCGATTCCATTGACGACGATTAAATACGTGATCAGGTAAAGGCATCCAAGATAAAATAGCCATATTTATAGGACTTAAAAGATCCGATTTTGAATCCAATACTGGTAAAGATCGTACAGGAGGGCCAAAGAATAAAGAATCCTTACGTGTTCGAGATAGAGTCTGACCAATAAAAAATTGACCATAAAAAAATGAAGACCATGAACGAAACATATTTGGAGCATTACGACATATGAAGGATTTGAATTTTGGCCAAGTTATAAACATTGTGTCTGGTTTTGAAATACTATAAACTATTGGAGTTACTGCGTCACGAATTTGAGAAATGTTTTTAAGAGAAATCATATTTGAAAGAATTTCCATGAAATTTCCGGATTCTGCATTGGCTGTTATCATTTCACATGTTGTCACCCATACAATAGCTGTTAATATGTCTATTAAATCTTGACATTTTACTTTTGGAAGTTTAATGGTGGTAGTAGAGGTGTTTTTGTCCAGAGATAGAAATTCTTTACAAGATTCATCGTCTTCCCACGTTGCAAAAGATTCAAACAAAAGTTTTGAATAATCTTCATCGATAACATTTTTGATTTTATCACAATATATGGCGATAGCTTTTACCAGTCCATTAAAAGTGAGAAGTGATGGTGTGTGGGCCGTACTTGGATAGTTTGCAAGGTAAGAGAAAGAGCGAAATATTAATGGCCCCACGCCAATATTATCAGCAAAACTTAGATATTTCTATAATAATTAAAATAATTAAAATAAATAAGGTAAAGTGGTATTGTTTAAAAGTTTTGAAAAGTTTTGAGAAGGTTTGAAAAGTTTTGAGATATTGTAATATTTAAAATTTATTTACCACAAAAGATTCTTCGTCAATATGAGCGATTCCATCTTTGCTCACAGTGCAAATAGTGTCAAAGCAAGTTTTTAAAGAGTAACTTTCGATTTGACTAAAATTTTTTTTTAATAACTCGGAGGATATCCTATCCGGTGTAGTTCGTATAGTTTTTTTTGTCTGCTCAGTAGAATTGATGTGTTGCGACTCACTACTAAGTGATATACCCATTTTCTTTAAAAGCTGAGGGTTATAAACAATGTCGAACTTTTTTTTTTGAAAAAGAAGAAAAAGAATAAAAAAAAAAGCAAAAAATTTAAGGCTTATTGTTTAGATTTTATAAATTATAAATAAGGTTTTTTTTTTTTATATATAGTAAAGTGTAATCTACTGTATCTCGTCGAAGAGGGAATATTGATATTAAAAAAGGAATAACCACCAAATATATATGTAATTTTACGGTTGGCTTATCTGAAACGGAATGCTGACTACGGAAAATACGTAGACATCTCTTTATTTGCGGAGAAGTAAACCTACACCCTTAATAATTTTTAAGCATGGAGTTTGCGGAGTTGTTATCTTCTATATCTACTGTATGCAATTATGTGAACATGCGTGTCTTTATACTTAAAAATCAACATTACACATATATTTAATTTAAATTCATGGACTGTTTTGCATACGTAGTAATTTATCGTTGCGTATCTTTTTTTTCTTTCATTCAATTATAGTTTGCAGATTATTAAACTATGTTAAATGACATGTACGTACGTATCGGTATCGGTATTGACTATATAACGATAATATTTGATATATATATATTTGATAAATATATAATATTGAATACGTAATATTGAATAATATTGAATATTTAGTTAAATATAGCGCCTCATTAACAATTTTGTTTTAGTTTACAGGTATGGCCACACTAAGCACTTGTTTTGCATCATATGACAATCTCTACACTTTCGTCACCCCGTACGTGCCAATCAAAATTTTAAAAATTGCATTTTTTGATTATGTGTAAATTGTATATCATGAGGCCAAGTTGTTTTTTTTTCTACGGACGATTCGACCTTTCTCACGATTATTAAAATGGAAAGCCAAAATTACACACGGGCTTAATGTGCAATAACAATACTATACAACTGGTAAGTCATTGTCTAGTCTATTATGCAGGATACAATTAAGAATTTTTCTCATGCGATAATTAACTAAACGATTGCTTATAAATTATATATACTAATATATTAATAATGTTACAAATATTCTTTAATAATTCAATAAGAAATGTGTTCTCATCACCTGATTTTTCTTTAGAAAAACATGAATGGTATATGGTATACTTTGTTAATACTGTTTTAATACTGTCAATACTGTAATAGTGAATAGGGATTACCTAACGGTATACTCCGATTTATTACTATATTAACGGAATGTTCCCTTAGAAAGACCTCACTATATACAAGATATTCAATTCTAAATGGTATTGTGAATGTAAACTTTATTATGCTAATCATGATTATACAAATTTAATGTATTAGTAATTGTTATTAGTTTCGACACAATATGCATTAAACAATTGTCCTGTCTTTTTTATTATAAGATGTCATACTAACGTCCATTATTAGTGGATATCATTACCCATTCTTGTTATATGTGGTTAAGGATAACTAAAAATAGTTATTTCGGAGTTAAGTTTCGGATTCGAGCATAAGATAAACGAAATGATATGTCTGAAGACGGCTTATGCCGTAATTAGTTATAAAGTCGTATAGTTTCGTTTACGTCTCTTGTCTGGAGACCCCCTATTCCCCGAAATTAACTTCTTTGTTTTGCCATATTCGGAGTTTTAAAAAATATGATCGGCAAATAACCTATTTCTAAATTAACTTAATGCAGTAATGCTTATGGTAAATTACGTACGTACGTATACGTATTACCATTGCATATTTTTTTTAACAAAAAATGTTTCGAACGCAGTTACGTACGTACGTAGAAATTTTTCCATCAAGAAAATTCCTACCCCAATGTTATTAAATTATTGGTTATCTGAGTTATTTATTATATCAATAGTCAATAAACAACGATAACTTATTACGTATAGTTAGCCATACGTAGATAGTTTATTATACGTATATATATAGCAATTTCTAAGCACAATGGCTTGATCGACGTTAATCTTTCTCACGCTTTATCTCAACGGATTTTCTTTTTTTTTTTTTCAATGTAGGTCAACGCTTAATACTACGAATATGTTACGATTAACATTAATATCTGCACCAATATCACCAATATGATACGAAACCACTCTTAACTCAGGTTTCACTTTATCATATTTACCATTTAAGTCGAAAAAATCTAGTGCTACTAACTTATTTTCTTCATAGAATTATGCTAATTGGTTGCACATATCGATATTATCAACCTTAATAGCTTGAGTATCACTTCGATTACTAACCAATTACATAAAAAAAGAACGGTTCTCGGTTAATCGAATCGATAAGATGTGTTTTCAAACACCTCCCCTCCGCACATAATTGATTAATGACGGCCAATTGATGATGAAATGTTAAATTTTAACCAAAGATAGTTGTTAGGTCCGTCTTTTAGCCAATCAAGCCATTCAATTAAATAAATGTTTTAAAACGGCATAAATCGTCTGTTGCTCTAAACGAATATATAGTCTAGCATGGTTATACAATCTAGTACGTACGCACGTACCTACGTACAGATTTACATATTTGATATCGTTATTTACTGGCTCTATTAAATTCTCTTTTTAGCAAAAATTCCCTTGGATCTCTAATAGTCAATATAGATCTTACAGTAACTAGTAAGTTCGAAGTGTGAATAGATGGCGTATAATGTTATCTATACAATCAAACCTCCCTAAATGCAATTCGTAGAGACCAGTCTTTTGATAGTTGGCATTTAGAGAACAATAAGAAAAATTGTATTTTATGGGAGTTTAGTATATATTTGGCCCAAAATTAAAGGTTTATTTAGAAAGGTGATGCACCTAGGGTGGTTGCATTTAGGAATTCTGACTGTAGTACTTGCTAGTATTTGAAAATATTATTCTACATTATAATATTTATTATAATGATAGATTTAATATTATATTTTTTATATTGTTAAAAGTTTATACTAGACAATAAAAATAATATAATTTTCAAATTTACGCCGTTTTATAAAAGCAATATTTCTAAATAATTTTATAAAGTTACAATATTATCAAAAACAAAATCAATTTTTTAAAAACTTATGTTTATTTAAAATATTAATTAAAATACAATTAAAATTAAAAACATAACAAAATAAACATGCTATTAAAAAAATATAAATTTTTATACTGTATATAATTTTTTAGTATCTTTTTTAAAAAATAACTACATTTAACCAAAGGGGAAATCACGGCTTTTATGTTTTTAGACAATTTTAGACAAAGTTTAGAATTAGATATTAGAACCCCAATATTAGTTAATATAAGGTTTTAAACATTTTTACTTAGTATCTTTAAAGTGTGTTAGCTAGTATGTTTTTGAAATATAAAACTCTAGTAAACTTTACCTTCAGTAAAAATTAACAATTCTTTCTTTTAAAATTAGATTTTAATTTTATAAATCTTTTATATTTTTTATTAAAACGATTGTATTAAAAAAAATACAAATACAGTATATAAAATTTAATACAGTATTATATACTTGTTTTTAAATAAGTTTTTTTTAACTTAGCAAGGAAAGTCAGTAATGCTTTATTAGATACTATATTTTTACTATAATAAGCTATTCCCAAAAATAAGCTACCTCTCTCTTTTGCTTTAAAAAACTTAAAAATATCTTTTATCCTAAAATAAGCTATCTAAATATAATTACTATTAGTGCTATATATAAATATATATATATAATAATTAATAGTAATTAATTAAAATTTTTAAAAACCTATTATACTTGAAAATAAGCTATTTTTGATTTTTTAAGCTCAAAATTGCCAAAAAAAAAAGTAGCTTATTTTGGGGAAAATATGATATATCTGTAAATACATTATATAATTTTTAAACTATTTTACAACCTATTACTAGGCTATATAACTCAATACAGCAATTTAATATTTATTTAGCTACTTTAATAGATGCTTAAATATATTCTTGTTATACTATTAGTATGCTATAGTTAAACTAATATTTGTAGTCAAGATACCTCTCATTCTAAAAGAGCATTGTTATTAAATTGCTATATTAATAGAGAAAATCAGACCCATATTTAATACTACTTTTGCATCTTAAATCTACTATATTAAACTTAAATTATATTTTTTATACTATTTATTTTGTTTTTATACAATTTTTAAATTAGTAACTTTTAGATTATAAATTTTATAATTTTTTAATTTGTTATACTATATTATTGTTTTCTTTAAAATATTTTGATATTAGTTTAAAATTTATATGAACTTTGTATTTTAAATTAAAAATTGCTATCTAATTAGATTCATCACATAATAAAGTTGATATTTTTTGTTAAATAATCCTTTTTATTTATTTATCTAAATACTATTAATTTATATCTCAAATTAATTTCTTCTATTATAGCTTAATTACAAATGTTCTAAGTTTTAATATAATATAATTACTTAGTACTTTTATCTATTTTTTTAAATATTATTTGCTATAATAAAGTTTAGAATATAATTTATAAATAAATAGAACAATTTTGATTATATTCAAAAAGTTTTACAAATCTTAGTGATACCATTTTGGTAATAATAACAAGACTTAAAACTATTGTTTTCTATAATTTCTAAACTTCTTTTTTTAATTTTTTTAAATTTTTTTCTTGCTATCTATTATTTATATAGATTAAAGTTGCTGGTTAAACTAAATCTGTACTAATAAAACTGATAACTATTTAAAATCTGATTGGTTATTAAGTACAATAGCTAATCAAATTTTAGATAATTATTAGTTTCATCAATATAATTTAGTTTTATTAGCAACTCTAATATAAATAGCTTTTTTTTTATTTGTTTTTTTTTTTATTTTTAAAATTTTTATTAGTTTAACTATATTTTTTATTATTAAAAATAATATATTTTATATATTATTTTAGAATTCAAAATTATATATAGCCATTAATAGCTGATTATTAGTACTTCTTTTTCTGATTATATCTTAAGATATTTTTTATTTTTTTTTTAATCTTCAAAGGTGAGGCCATACCTCTATCTTT